TAAGAATCAGATAATGTTTGTGAATGTAATTTTTAGAGTATAAAGATTTATAAAAGTACAAGTTATTGTTGTTGTTGTTCCTATATTAGAACTGCTCTCATGGAAATTTATGTGCTAATTTGGAGTCTTTTAGGCATCATGAGAAAAATGGGCAGTTGAAACATGGCCCAATGCATGATATTCGGCTATCAATTTCTATAATGAGGAGCTGCTATCCAAATAAGAAAATATGAATACAGAAAGTGGGACAAATATTTCATGAAACCTATGCAGACATTTTTTATTATAAAAACATACACATTTAATTGATTTAACTATTAAGAAAAATGAGCAGTAACCTAGGACTCAAGTCATTTAAAACTGCTCTAGTTCTAACACAAACAAGCTTCGTGCCCATTGGTGAGCCATTGCCCCTGTGTGGTTCGGTTTCCTCGTCTGTAACCTGAAATGTTTGGACAGATTATATGTAAGGCCTTTACTAGATTTACAAAAACAAAGATTTTCTTATTTGAACGCATAGAACATTCTTGCTCAGTCTGTATGTATTTTGATAAGGGAATAAAATACTTTTCTGTGATTGAAATCTAAGGATGGAACTTTAGCAATAAAGTTACTGCCCTTGTAACACCATCTTCTGACAGACTGATAGAGCCTTTGCTGAGAGAGTTGGCTAGTGATGTCTGTGTCCCTTGTAGATTCTTGAACATGCATTTACTATGGGAAAGTGGCATCTGATGTCCTTCTCAAACACTCTTCTGCAGACAGATGAGCATCCACTGCCAGCCAGAGTTTTCTCCCTTATAATCAGTCAGTGCCTCTTTCTTGTCTGAGCCATGATGTGTTTCCAAAGTCTGTGGAGCTGAGGATTTTGTGACAAATTAATGCTCCCATTTGGGCTTCACTGGACTGCATTAGGCCACTGAAGGTGGTTAAATTTAAAGGCAAATACATTAATTGATATTTTAATCTTATGAAAAAGGAAATGAGAAAGATTTCCTTTCAACAATATAGGAAAATCTTATGAGGTTCATTACAGTGCCCACAAAAGTTTTATAGATGTTAAGATTTAAGTCCTAAGTCCTTTTTTGGGGGGATATCATTCATTTACAATTATTTTGACTTAACTATTACTGTACATATTGTATACTATATATATTGTATACTGATACCTAAAAAATTTTGAAAACTACTGCCACATTGTCTACCAAAAGTTTGAATTGCTTTCATGAAAAGTAAATGTATTTGTGTCCTGCCAGCATTAAATATTATTAATCTTTATAATTCTGGCAATCTGATAGGTGAAAAAAAAACTATCTGGTTTTAATGGCACTCTTTTGATAGTTAATGATATTCAGTAATTTTTTTCATATGTTTATCACCCACTTTTACTTATTTTGTTTAAATTGCTTATTTATAACTTTTGCTCCTTTCTCTATTGTGCTGTTAAAACAAATGCACTTTTACTATGCATTTAGTGTCTAGAACTATTCTAAAGATTAGTTAGGATACATCATTGAATAAGACATAAAAAAGATGTTCTCATGGAGCTTATATTCAAGGGGGGAAAAGAAAAATTAACAAGAAAAATGTCAGACATATGTTCTAAGATAAAATAAAGAGACATGATCAGAATTTGCTGGGGGATTACTTGAAGCTAACTGATAAAGAAGGGTTTTCCAGAAGGGGTAGTATTTATATTGAGACAAGATTGACAAGAACATCTGTAGAAGATCATCTTTTCAGGTGATACAAACAGCTAACATAGAGGCATGAATGAGTTTAGGGTATTCCAAGAATAGAAAGACATCTATGGGTCTAGAGAAGGTGGGGGAGAGGAAGTGGGCAGAGATGGGGTTGGGCAAGTTGGAAGGCTCAGTCCATGTAAAGGCTGGTAGTTCAGGGAAAGGAGTTTTGGTATCATTCCAAGTGTTAGGAAGTGATTGAAGCTTTTTGAAGAGGTGTGATATAACCTGATTTCCATCTTGACTGATCACTCTGTTATGTGTGGAATGAATCATTAGGAACAAGAGTAGAAGCAGGGAGAACAATCAGGGGGTAGGGCAGTTGTCTAGGCAAGAACCTATCAGTTACTTAGAATAGAGGATAGAGGACCTATCAGTTACTTAGAATAGAGGATGCCGTCAGTGGCCTGCCCAGATTCGCTATCTGTCTTGTGCACCATTCTCCCAGCTACTGTGAAAGTAGGCTTTTGTAAATCTCAGCTGACCCCTTCCTGGGAGGCTATACCTCCCCTGACTTATTGAGGACCTTAGCCAATGACTGATTGACAGGAGGGTTCTGTTTCCTAAAGGTGGGGCTAACACTGTGCTACAGTTTGTGCTGTAGCACTTCCTTATGGAATTAACTAAAGCTAATCACTAGCTGAATGACATTTCTGCTTAGCATCTGCCACCTGTCCTTCACAGATTCTTCTGCTCCTCTTCTCAATAAATAACTTGAACAAGAATCTTCATCTCAGCTATGTTTTTAGGAAACTTGACCCAAGACACTTGGTTTAGGATGGCGGAGGTTGAAATGGAGGAGACTGGCTTAGAAATGTTTGAGAGAGAGAGTCTGTGGAATGGACCTGGAACATGAGAGAAAGGTAGAAATCGAGAGTTCCTAAACTTTGTTATTGAGCAATGGGGTGGGTAATGGCATTATTTACTAACCGCAGATGTCTGGAAAGAGCAGGTTTGCAAGGTGGAGAGGGAAAAAATTCCGTTTCAGATATGTTAAGTTTGAAATGTCTATAATAGGATATATCAAGGATGCAATTGGATATTCTAATCTTTTGCTCTAAAGGGCAATCTAGTCTGAAGACCTATATTTGGGATTCAACTATAATATTCAAATGGTGTTCGAAGGAATGTGACTGAATGAGTGTATTAGGGTGAGAGTAGAGATGAAGAAGAGATCAGGTTGTGGCATGAAAATATTCGAGGTTGAGCAGAGGAAAATCTAACACATACATTGAGGAGTAGTCAGTGAGTGGTGACTAAACCATGAGAAGGTGTATCACAGAGACTGAGAGGATAAAGTGTTTCAAGGAGGCTGTGGTCAGCTGTTGAGTGCAGCTGAGTGGTTAATGAAGATGAAGACAGAGAACAGATCGTGAAATAGGCAACAGGGAAATTTTTGGTGACCTTGACAAGAGAAGAGTTTGACAGAAGAAGATTCTGAGGTAATGGGAAGAGAATGGGAGATGATGAAGCAAACACATTGACCTAGGCATTTATCATTGCTATGAATAGGACTAGAGAATGAGGTAGTAACTTAAGTGGGGAAAAAAGTGCAAATGCTTTTATTTTTTATTTTTGATTAACACCATTGGAAGGAAATAACTGATTTTTACAAAAGAGAGGGGATAATTGCAGGAGAAAGTTCTTGAATAGACAAAAACCAGTGAGACCTAGTGTTTATGAGTAGGAGTTGGCTCTATCCTCAGGCAAAAACACTTCAAATTTACAATAGGAGGAATGCCAGAGAAATAAGTGCCAACAAAGAAAGCTTTGTAGATGTGGTGTATGGCTAAGTTAGTTTTTTCTGATTATTTCTGTGTCTTTGTTGAAATATGAAATGAGGATCCCAGCTGAGATGAGGGTCAGAGGTGGGGTCAGTAAGTTTGGAGATTTAAGGAGGGAAGAGTAAGGATGAAATAATCATGTTAGAGACTAGGAGATTTTATTAATGGAGGAGATGTAGTATAATTTCCTTGCACTATCGAATGCCTCTTTTGGCATGAATGCTCATGAATTTTTAATTAGCCAGTCATCAGGATTTTTAGTATTTTCTAGACATACTTAGGTCCTCAGATGTAGAGGTGGAATAGGTAAATGGTTGGGTTTAACTAGCACTGGGGTTTTGTCAGGAAGACACAAGGCAGTTAAAGAATTTGTAAGGGAGTGATTATGAGGATAGGGTATGAGATATGAGCTGGGCTAAGAGGCAAATGAGAGGAAGGATGGAAAGAAAGATGGGGAGGTGAATTGGTTTGAGGTAGTGATAAAGTTGAAGAAATCTAGGAGTGGGGGTAGTAGAATAGATGAGCTTGGAAGAGAAGAGGGGGTAAAGAGAGTGGGATGTTTGACATCCACATTCAGAGATATTAGAAACCTTTGTGACAACGAGGTCAAAAGTGTGGCTGTGGGATTAGGTGCATTATAGGAAATATTATTGGTTGGAGGGGGTTGAGAAACTTGGAGGACATGGTATTGGATCATTACACAGGTGTCAAAATCCCCAAACTTGGGGAAAAGAGGAGAGGTATAGAGGACATTAAGATGGGGGCTAAAGTCATCAGTGAAATAGAGAAATAGGAAGCTGGCACAATGTGATATTTGCTTTATTTCATTGATTTTTTATGTGTTCTTGGTTTTTTAAAGTATATTTTATTGTAAGAATGATATTAAAATAAAAATCAGAACGTAAGGCCCAAACTCCCATAAGCCTGTTGCTTCATCAGAGGATGGTGGATTTTGACTAAACCACATATCTGCTTCTTGTCTGTTTATTCTGGCCGGGCCAGGTGTCCCGTTTGTTTAGCTTACTCTTCCTGAAGTGTCGCAGGGTTTGCCACCGTGAGTGTCTGCCTCTTGACTGGCAGCCAGCAGAAGTGAGCCCTCAAATGAAGAGGCCTTCTCATGGTGCTGATTGACTGCCTACCCAATGTGCCAATCTCTCCCACATTGCTAAAAACCTGTGACAACCATTACCAATCACTGTTGTAAAATAGGGCAGTAGTCCTTCATTTCTCAAAACTTGTTTCACTGTGGATGCCCTGGTTAGATAGTTTCTCATTATCTTCTCAGTCTTGGTGGCTTGATTGCATTTGATCTCTCTCTTGAATCCATCCAGATCTTCCTTCAGTTCCAGTTATATTTACAAATTATTTGGCAAGCCTATCCTCTCCATTCCTTGTGACTAACGAGTCTTTATTCCAGCTTGTAAGTGCTGTGCTGCCAGGTTGTCTTGAACATCTGCTGATTGTTTCTGGACAGGGAATTATGGGGAGAGCGGAATGGATGCTTTCAAAGAGCTGGCTGCCCAGGAAGGCCTCTGCATCGCCCATTCAGACAAAATCTACAGCAATGCTGGGGAAAAGAGCTTTGACCGACTCCTGCGCAAGCTCCGGGAGAGGCTTCCCAAAGCCAGAGTGGTGGTCTGCTTCTGCGAAGGCATGACGGTCCGAGGCCTCCTGAGTGCCATGAGGCGCCTGGGCGTCGTGGGAGAGTTCTCGCTCATTGGAAGGTAAATCTCAATTTCTCTCTCTCTCTCTCTCTCTTTCTCTCTCTCTCACACACACACACACACACTTTGGTCCACATATGCTTGGTCTCACAAATATGGATTTCCTGACTCCAAAGAGGGTAAGATGTGCTCTGCTGGGCTGAACCTTAACTCTGGATCATGGAGAGTGGGGCTATCATCATTTTCCTGCTAGACAAGAGTAGGGTAGTCAATGACAAGATGATGAGACTGCTTCAGAAAAAGGTTGCCAGAATGTTTTGTTCTGAAGAATTATTCTTTTTATGTGCTTCGGACCCCTTCCAATCCTCTGGCCCTCAAATCACACACATGCTTATGTCTTCACACTTCCTAAACATAAGAATCTTAATGGAGCATTGGTGGATGGAGGGTAGCAGTGAAGATGGAAATATATAGTAAGATACAAAATTTAAAGGGCTGGCTAAATGCAAGTGAAAATATGCAGCTGAGCTGTGGATCTTAATAATGTGCTCTTTTACACGCATGGGATGGCTGAGTGATGCTTTCAGCATGTGACTCCTGAAATAGCAGGTGGTGGCTTCCAAGACCTCTGCTCTTCTTTCTAGATCATATGTACTTGTGTGGGAATAGGTTTTCAGTATCATTGTATCTTTCATAGGGTTTTTGACGTAACAGGTATCTTGTTTAATTTGCCTACTTATAATATTTGCACAAAGGAACTGCTAAATTTTTCCAAGGAACCTACTGAGTTTACCTAAATGAAAGTCTCCACTGATCCCTGACTTTGTCATACTCATCTTCCAGATTGCTTTTTCTCTTTCCATCGCCTCTATTGGCTAGAATAAAATCTATACCTCACCTGTTGAAATACCTCAAACCCTGGCTCTCTTCTCTAGGAAGCTAAGTAGTAATGGTATGGACATCCTCTCCAGACTTTTCCCTCTGTCCTTGAACTTGTGGTAATGACTGCAATAGTAATAACACTAATCTCATCATCATCTGGAACTGGAGGTACAGGACACTTCAAAGACTTTAGAGAAGAAGGTAGGATATAAATACAACTAAAAAAATAAAGAAACAAAGAAGTACTCTCTCATGAGGAGATATGGAATCAAGATCAAAATATAATTCAAGATTAAGAAAATTACTGAATTTAAGTATAATTGGCACACTGTCACAAAATGTCATTTTGGCTTCTTCGATATGATGCAGTTGTGTGAGGCCACTTAAGAAAGCAAGTCTTGAAAAAGTCGTAAAAAGGAATATTATTTCCTTTATGAGTGAAAGGGAGGTAAGCAGCATTGTTGAAGTGTTATGTAGCATAAGGTCGGTAATATATGTACCAGGACAGGTGGCCTACAGATATTCAGCCCTTTTTATTAATTTTGTAAAATGACTGCTTTTATGAAGGGTAATTATTTACCATTTTCATGGTATAACAATTGTCTGTGTTTTCAGAATTCATTCTCTTTAATATCCATAAAGACACTATCTACCTGGATTCTGGAGAGCTTAAAGAGATGTGGCAAATATGTGAGTTTTGGGATATACAGACTGCCTAATTGTGAAATATAATTATACAAATGTTGCAGTGAGTATTTGGAGTGTAAAGGATTCATTCCATCATGATTATTTAAAAATTGAACGAAGGTGGCGATGTAAACTTCCTTCTCTGGCTCTTGTCTACCTGCAATACAGCTGAGCTCATACAAGTATTTCTGAGTCTCACATATGCTTGCTCATGAAGAGGTCAGCTACATGTGATATCTACTTCTTTTATTCCTCCTGTCTCTGCCCTACCTCTGCTGGGTCCTGCTGACACATTCTAGGGAACTGTCATAACAGTGAACACCTGAACTTCTGAGGATGCTGTTCCCCGTGCCAGTGGTTATTGCCAGTGACTCATGGAGCCCTTGAGATGCCAAAGCTATGCCCCTCTTGCTGCTTCTCTGCCTTTCTGGGCTATATTCTTCGAGGGTCTGTTAGAGTGGTATTGGCTGTTGTTCTCATATCTTAGAGGATTTGGGGGAAAATGGCCTTTTCTTATTCTTGGTTCACAGTTATCTCCCTTCCCTGGGAGAGAGATCAGTTCAGATATGAGTCCATAGGGAGCTAAACAGGGAACCAAGCCAAGTAGTAACACTACACCGTACCTAGAATTAGCTTTCCCTTCAGATGTTTGATTTTCCCACTTTCTGAGGGATAAATTCTATCCCAAACTCTCCTCTGTCCCTCATGGCAATGAACATTTGGTGGGCTTGATTCTCTCATTTCTGCAGGCATGTCCAGAAGGGTTTTAGTTTAACATCAAGTTGCAGCTTCTAGCTACATATGCAGTGTCATCAAATATATCTCCCTTCTACTTGAAGGGGTTTCATGATAAACTCTTTTGAGGTCAGGAGCCATTGTTTGGTTTCTTTCACAGCACATGGTATGATTCTGGCTGCTGCCCGATTTACAAGAGGGCATTGTGTAGATGGTGATGGACCTCTTTTCACAGAGGTGAAGATAAGTAAGTCGTGGTTTAGATTGCAGCAAAAGACACTTAATTAAAAAAATTAGAACTTCCCGAATGAAGATTTATATTCCCTTGCCTCCATGACTCCTCTTTTCTCTCACACTTCACATGAACATAAAAGGAAATGTTGTTGGTGCCACCATCCAAACATATCCAGACTTTGACAACTTATTGCCATTCTTGTCACTGCCATCCTGGTCCAAAGCACCATCGTCGCTCACCTGGGTTATTGTGATATCCTCCTAATTGACCTTTGCCACATCCCCCCCATTTTTCTCATAAGTCTTACCATGGCCTTAAAATCCTGCTTCTGTTGTTGGGGATAAGTTTTTCATAATGGCATAATAAACTATAATAACAGAAGAATTTTTAAATAGGAAGTTCTAAAAGATAATAAAAACATTCTATATTTAATGAATGTAGGCTAATGGAAAAACCAAACAAAAAGCTATATGGGCTGAGAGTTCTAGCTCTGGCACAGAGTAATCATGTGATCTTGTTTAAGTCACTTTTTGTCTCTGAGTCTATTTTTTTCTACAAAAATTAACAACCTATGACATATTAAGACCATATGACAGAACTATGATCAACAGGAACATATTTATAGATTCATTTTTTTCTAAAGTTATTCATGAATTTATATTAATCCATTTACATTTTCTTACCCACCACTTTATTAAAACCAGGAGAATATGTTGAATACTGCTTGTCAATATTAGTGTCTTAATGTGGCCATGGAATGTAGCCAGCAGACCCACAGGAAAATCAAACCTTCTACTTTGGGCAAATTGGCAGAACATTGTCACCAAGTAAGTTAACCAACCACAAATTAGTCATTATGCAAAAAGAAAGTTCCATCTTAGTTCTATGAAATTGCTTCTTTTGACATGATTCTCAGAATTGTGCTTACCATATCTATAATTATAATTTTAATGATGATTGTGATGATGATGAGCACATTTGTTTGGACCTTACTATATGCCAGGCACTGTTCTAAGCACTTTGTATACATTAACTTATCATAACAGTATTATGAGAAAGGTGCTAATATTATTCCCACTTTGATGTATAGAGAAGTAAAGAAGTTGTCAAAAGTGCTGCCATTGCTGCCATGTTGTATTTTTCCCAGAGATGGGATTTGAACCTAGGCACTTTGGCTTCAGATTTCATGCTCTTAATCACTAAGTTATACTCTGTCAAGCTGTGATTGTTTTACTTAAGACATATTAGCATTCTCCTTAGTTTCCTTTCAGTTTGCTCTCTCCTCTAGAGATCTATCTTGTTTAGATTCACCTTCTTTGGGAAAGTCAACTGAAGTATCTCTGTAAGAAAGTTTTATATTTCTAATTATTTTATATTTCTAATTATTCTCTATTTCTTTGAATCCATTTTCTCTCCTAGTATTAAAGTTTTAAATGATAATTCAATAAAGGGGCTATTCTTTTCAAGCTGATTATTTTTTATCATAACATGGGACTCCACAGTCTTATTCTCTATGTAGTCTGTATCTATGGAACTATACTTATATAGAAGCCAATTTGGGATAAGTGTGTGATATTTCTCTGAAATCTTAAGTTTTATTTATTAAAATTATAATCGTTAACTGATCAATTTGTTCTAATTTTTGTGTTGTTCCTTTATTTGAAGAAAGTGAAAGTGAGCATAGTTTATGTGTATGAGCACATAATAAGAGCTACCATTTATTGAGTGTTTGGCTATTAATATTTGATATCTCCAGTCTTAACAGCAGCCCTGAAAGGTTGATTCGGAAGGTAGAGAAGTTAAACAACCATTCCAAATTCCTAAATTTAATAAGTGGTAGAGATAAGATTCGAGCTTACTACTATACCATAAGATCATACAGATACCTAAATATCAAATTGTAACCTCCTCAAAGTTGAACAGGTTTTATGTGCTTGTTGATTTTCCCATCATGCCTAACAGTATTTGGGTGTGGTAAATATTCAATACTTTTGTCAGAAAGCCTGAGGTGTCATAGAGCAGCTGGTTTCATTTTGTGGTCCTTGATTTTCCTTTCACATTCCAGGATCAGTAGGTTTTACCTAGCATGGTAAAATTTGGTGTTCATCAGTCAACCTCTACCTCTAGGATTCATCTGTAAAATTAGAACTCATTTTGTTTGCCTCTCAGGTTGTTGTATTTTTCTAATTATAAAATGCCTACTTGCCTATTAAACTGTAGCTAAGTGTCAGTGGTAGATCTCCTGTGGGGACCTAACAGCACACTGTTCTCAGAGGGTGAATGAGAGCTTTCTGGCTTTAGTCCTATACCAGGTGTTGACATTATGCACCCTGTTTTCCTCATCTTGGGAAGCCCTTAACAGCAGGCTTATATTCTGTCTTGTTAGAAGCCTTTGGTTAAATATCTTGGGTATGCCATATTTGACTGTGTATTTCCTAGCCCCCTTTATTTGGATTATGAACTCATCTTCTGAATTTCTCCACTATACAAAAGAATCATCCAATAAAGACCATGAAGTCAA